GTGCAGTTGTACACTTTAGCGAAAAATCCTCCTCATTGCTGTCAGTTCACGAGGAAGCACCGACAGCCACTATTTTAGGAGACTTCGGACGCCAGTTTTCAGGTTATACGAACTACCCGCATTCCCTCTATTCTGAATAGAGAAAAGGTTTGGGTGCTTACTAAGGACTAAAGGGGGCTTCTGCGTGAGCATCCGGCCGCATTTGACTTCCAGTGAAAGAAGACAGTAAACCTTGCTTCATACAGCTGCCGTCAAGATATTCAAACACATTTGGTGCGGCTTTGTAGAGTTGGGTGTCTGACAGGACATAGCCATAAGAGCCTCCCTCCCCACGGCCTTGGGCAGAATTCCGGGAATGAGCGATCTCATGAAATGTTAATCAAAATTTGTAAACTAGTTTTCGATTGGGAAGGATTACTTAAGTGGGATTGTTTTATTCATTATCTTCTTTCCTATTGCCTGAAGGCGGCATGAGTACAAAACTTATTTTCGGGCATGCTCTCTGCAACAGTATTTTCTGCTTTATAAGGGGATAGTAAATCAGCAAAAAGAATGCATACTATTGAAGTAGTCACTCTTATCGCGGACAGTTGTTAAAAGCGGTCAAAAGGAAATAAACTCAAAAGCCAATATCCTGGTGTGTCTGAAATATCGCGGGACTACGTCACGATAAAGTCAATATTACATCCGCACTTAAGTAATCCGGTCTAATATAAAACGCCTTTCAGAATTCCAATGAACATTTCATGAGATCGGTCACTGATTTCAGCCTTAGCGCTAACCTTGACTGCAACCTTTATGCTAACCGTAATCGCCCTGAAAATTGGTTAGAGGTCCCCGGAATATGGTGAGGAGTTCCCATCCTCATGTCCTGCCTCCAAACGCAGCACACTTTGCGCTTTCGATGCCTGAATGAGCGAAGTCCGATGTAATTTTGGTCGTAGAGCTAGCATGTTTGTTCCGCACAAGAGAATACTTGGAAGAATGCCCCGTCAACGATGCTGCCCTGCATTCACTCTATTCTCCAGTTATCCTGAGTGCGAAGAAGGAGTGGGCAGGCCGCTGCACAAGTACGCCTCACTATGACTCGATTCCTGCTTAGCTCACCACTGTTGGCGACGGTGACGGCTGAGCTCTGTGAGGAAGCCATCGGGATTTCATGCCCATTCACCTTTACATCCAACGAACCTCGCAAAACGTGAATACTAATTCTGAATGACCAGAAAAGTGATGACTCAGTGAGCCCTTTCCACGATTCCCCACATGCTTAGTGAGTAGGGGCGTTTTGCGTTAAAATTTGCTGCACTTTTTTATGCCTGCAGGCTACGTGGATCAACGTGGCACTGCCGCCCTTCCGTTCGCATTAAGTCTGCATGGTGGGAGAGTGCATTTTGGTGTGGGCGTTGGGAAGTCTACTGACCGATTGGTTGAGACTGGAATTGGCGATTGGCTGAAAGTGCTGATGAGTTGGTTTGGACTTCGCGGAGTCCTGGTGACCGCGTGTGGGTGGCGTCGCAGATGGGTGGGGTTTTCAGAGGCGAAGGGCTTGCGCACTAGTGAAAGGAGTATTCAAGTATGGTGCAGCCCTTGATCTTCACATCCGCCGTTAATTATAGTAGGCTCAGATTCAGAAAGGCAGCCAATAAATTTAAAAAATAACTGAAATGCCCATTTTAATTCATTCTGCGGTGATCACGATAACTGCCGTCCAGTTTTCTCTACTTCGTAATATTTCACAATCAGCCGACCGTTTTCCCTAAAGGCCGTTCCGCCAGAACCGAATTTCGGTCCACCTTTTTCATTGTTTCGCATACTCACTCAATCGACTGCATGTTTCTCCCAGTGTTGTTTGTTTCGTAAAAAACTCACTAGAACCGGTAAACGACGTGCTGAGTTTTGTCTCGTGGAAGGAGCTGTCAGTAAATTTTTTAAGTCCTGTAATGTGCTGAAATTTACGAAGCACGGCTAATTTCTTTCCAACCGGTATAAAAAATGGACCAAAACTCTGGATTAGTGGTGAGCGTCTTTGAGCGAGATGAAAACGCGGCATAATATTAAAAGTAATAATACTTTGTGTAGAAATGACTTTGTAGTTATACTACCGGAATTAGTTTAATATCAAGTATGGCGGTTCAACAACAACCTACAGTTTGAGTATCGATTTCATTGCGGTTTCACGAGAATTTATTGTAATTTTTTCGTCTTTACATGATATGAGATGTTGGTGACTAAAACAAAGGGGATTTCGTCAAGGGAATAAAAGTTTTTGGATGTTCGAATGTGCACAGGTCGCCCTTTGACTTATAATTTGAAGAAAATTGGCGCGTGCAAATATATGCATGCCATTGCATGTGAATGTTTCAAGAAAACTTTTCTTCCGTAAAATATCGGTGTAACCTTTAGTGAAGGTGGATTCGTTGCATTTCAGAGCGTCCCTGAAATATTAGTTTTCAGTGTTCCCAATCAACTTTCCATGAAGATAGGTTTCCTGCCATGCGTTTGTATAAATGTTCATATACGATATCGCTTGAGAGGTTTTACTGAAGTAGTGCGCTCTTAAGCACTTTTATGCAGATTGCCATTTGGGTTTTATATGTAGACTCATTTAAACGTCAAAACTCATGAAAGAGAAAGATGAACGTCCACATCGAAAGTCAGCGATGAATATGCTCTGGATCAATTGAAAAAGCTCTAATAAGTTACCTCTTTATAGAGCGCTTTAGTAAGACATTTCATTGACGGATGTCTGCGTACTTAACCTCTTTCTAAGGTCAAGTGGTGATGAAAATTGGGTCGTTCGGTCGGCTTTTCACTTCCCTGAAAAATACTGACAAATTTTCTGCTGCAGACAAAAAATCTCCATTTTCTCTTTATATTTGAATCATTTTCGCTAACTTTACATAATTTTAGGCTCCCTTCTACGTTAGACAATGCACAAATGAGCGACCGTATAAATGGTGTAATATTGCTAAAACTGTTAATGTTCTATCCGTCCCGTTTCCAACTTACGTATTGACAGAAACTAGACCGTACAACAGTATTCCATCATATGCTCAAAAGTTAACATGGTCATTTTGCGGTGGGTCTTTTCACGGCTGCTTATGGAGTACTCGCAAATAGTAGGTACGTTTAAACAAAGAATTGCCTGTAAGCATTATTACTGCGTCTTAGAGCATAAAATCACGCAAATTTACAAGTCCGATTTTGTATTATCGATAAAAAGCCTGGTTTCACGTTCCTCGAACCGCCAGACCGACCGCCCGAAAAAGGTTCACTCAGCTCCCCTCGAAGGAGTGGTGACTCACAAAGCACACAGGCAAAACGCCTGTCCGCCGTCTCCCGAGAGGCTGAGGCAGCGAGAGGAGAGAAAAATCGATCAGCATAAGGTCGACCAACGCAAGATGCCACTTTAAATTAAACTTCTGATTGATTAAGTGCATTTTCCGCTTTGACAATGAAGAGTCAACCCAGCTCTTTGAAACGTCAGCAGTTAAAGAAACCTGTTCCGGAGAGCCTATTTTCTTATTCAAATCAAGTCTGCTCATTAATTTCTGTGGAAACTAGAAGCTGGGCATGATACTGATAAGAAATATATTTATCCAGAAGCCAGATTTGCCGAATTATACGCTTTCACTGCAAGGATGCGTATCTTTAATCGCTTAGCATCCTTCTGTGGACGGGACAATTTTCGGTCAGATGTGGTTATGTAGCCGCACCTGAGGTAAACGAACCCCAGCCGCCTGTAATACGGAGCCGGTGGTAATAGGGGTTTTTGCAGGTGGGACCGGGAAACGCACGGACGACAAGGTCAAGTAATTATATGCAAAAAAATTGCTATTGGGAAATTCGCGGTTGTACTTTGAAGGGTTGAGGAATCGGTGTCTTAATCCCTAACCCTAACCCATAAAATTATTGTATCCATCAGTTGCGGCTACATAACCACATCCTACCCAGTCTTCTTGCTTCAACGCTCTTTTTGTAACCTGCAGACAAACAAGTCACGGATGCTGCCAACGTTTCTTCTTCCTCATCATCTTGTTGTCGCCGTTATTTTTTTCCTTTCCTACTCCCGTCCCACCTTCCTCGTTCTCTTCACCTTCCTCCTCCCTTCCCTTCTCGTACCACCACCCTTCTTCTTCTTCTTCTTCTTCTTCTTCTTCTTCTTCTTCTTCTTCTTCTTCTTCTTCTTCTTCTTCTTCTTCTTCTTCTTCTTATTCTTCTTCTTCTTCTTCTTCTTTACCCTCTTCTTCCGCTTTTAGGTGGACGGAAAATTCCGTCGGAACTGTTGAAGTCAGTTTATCAGATACTAGATTTGAGTTCAAACTACCTTCGCTATCTCTTGGTTCAAAGTAACCCGTGCTTAACCGCTGGTCTTCTCTTTCCATGCCGCCCTTTATTTAGTAGGGCGAGAATCGTCCATATTTTAAGTTTTGGTTTGCCGTCTCGAATACACTCCCGCCATCAGGCCATTCTTTTTTCCTGACTGAGGTCGCCGCCTCCAGCGCTTAAGTTGACAGCGCTCTCAAACAGGCGTTTACTGCCAGGTTTCGTCTGCTAATTGTGTTTTTAATACTTTGATGAAAGTGCGCTATTGTTGATTTTCAAATGGGGTTCATCGTCCGTCTATTCTCGAATGCCAACTTTACTGTGCGTTCCGCGCGTGCGACCGCACTTCACTTTTGCGACGTCTTGTAACCGGCTTAACGCGCGCAGTGACTGGCTACCCCTTCAGCTCTGCCCCCCCCCCTCGTGAGTCGTTGTCTGTTTTTTTATCTCTAACACACGAACAGAAAGGATTTACAACTGTTTAATCGCCTTTTGTTTATGCCTGCGTGTTTTTTTACTAATTTGACCGTTTTTGACCCCGGGTCATGCGGTTGTCATCTGACTGGCCCTGCGCGGTAGTAAATATATATACGCGTATGTGTATGCATGGACACTGGAGTGGAAGCAACAAAGGACCCTGGTCAGTACCAAGCTCAGGAGCGAAAACGACTGACATGCCCAAAGACGCAATGACCTTCTTGCCCGTCATTTCGCGAGTACTCGTCCTCGATGGTGTGGCTGAATCGGCTGTAATGAAACTACGTCAAGCCGGTGTGGAGGTTCTCGTGGGCCCAAGTGGCTTATCCGCAGCGGATCTGGTGAACATCATCACAGACTTTACTCCCGCTGCGGTGATTGTTCGCTCGGCCACCAAACTGCCAGCTGCTGTCATTAAGGACGTGGCCTTTTGTGTTCGTGTTATAGCTCGTGCTGGTGTGGGAGTGGACAACATTGACGTTGAAGCTGCTCGCCAGGAGGGGATCCTTGTAGTCAACGCTCCTCTTGGTAACATCATATCTGCTGCCGAACACACCTGCGCTCTACTTCTCTCTCTTGCCCGCCAACTACCCGTGGGTCAAGTACGCTTAGACGCTGACCACGATCTCACTACTGCCTGGAATGTAAGCAAGAAGGCCACGAGTCCCGGCCAACAGCACTGCATCACGGAGATTGCCGGCAAAACGATTGGTCTCGTAGGTCTAGGAAAGATTGGTGCTGCCGTTGGCGCTCGAATGCACGCCTTTGGTGCACGCATAATCGGTCATGACCCAGTGTGGCCCCTAGGAGAGGACAGCGGGCAGCTTCCTACCTGGCTCTCTGGTCTCTGCAGCCTCGAGAAGCTCTGGCCACAGGCTGACTACATCAGTCTCCACGTACCCCTAACACCTTCTACTCATCATCTGATTTGTGCAGACGTCTTGGTCAAGTGCAAGCCCGGAGTGCGCATCATTAATTGCTCGCGTGGTGGAGTGGTTGATGAAATGGCTCTGTTGGACAGCCTGAAGTCAGGACATTGCGCCGCGGCAGCCCTTGATCTGCTGGAGCATGAACCACCGGGAGGAACGTCATCCGAGGCCGCTGCCCAACTGGCCACTCTACCCAACGTTATCTTAACTCCCCACCTGGGCGCTAGTTCCTTTGAGGCCCAGATCCGTGTGGCTGAGGAAGTGGTGGAAGCTATTTTGGCTATTGGTAATCGACAGGCCTCAATAACGGGCCTTGAGAATGCCATAAACCTTTCCCCTTTGGGCAGTCAAGTGCGCGATCTGCTTGCTGATGCCAACAATCGTGAGTTGCTTCTGGCCAGCTACGGCTCACTTTCAGAACTGGTGTTTCTAAGCAGCTTTGCCAATCTTCAGAGATGCCTTGCCGACGACGATGTTGCTATCTTCGATTCAACCATCTATGTCGATGTTTCGCCTGTCATGTCAGAGGTCTTGATGACTAGTCTGACTCACCTTTTGCACACTATTCTGCATCGTAACAAGTGTCCACCTTCGGACTGCCTTAGGTCTCTCATTCTACCTGCCGTTGGGGGCGAAAATGGGCGTATGCAACTCAAACCTCTTTCCGAGTTCAAGGCAGCGGGTCCTTCTTTTGCCGATTTTTTGAGGAAGAAATCGCTTGATTTCCTTGCTGCATTGAGGCTGTCCTACACAACGGTCAAGGGTCAGACTGTTTCGGGTGTCTATGGGCTACTTGCAGGCGCCAATGCAGCAGATGCCAGGGAGGTGTATCGTCTTGTTGGGGATGATGAAGATGCTTCCACTTCTCCTCAGAGTCTCGGTGGGGTCGCCCATTTTGGGGAGGGCATCTTTGGCCCTCTTGCTTGAACGTTTTTTTCTATTGGAAAATCTCAAACATCTGCCCTCTCTCGTCCCTGTTTAGTGTGATTCATGGCAGGATGGAAGAACTTAACTTTCTGTCGGCATGTTATGCATTGTCCCCTTAAGCAATTACAATTCCAGTTGCTTGCCTCGGTTCTCCCTCTCCTTCAGCACATACTTAGCAACCGTTCCGAAAGGCACAGTTTCGGCATTTGTCCCCAGGTGGCTCGTCGCGAAACTCTCCTTTTGTCCTGAGCGCTTCTAATAGGCTAGATCATAATAATAACGGTGGGAAGATAGGCGTTCTTGTCTTACATTTATTCTTTTGACTGTCATACAATTGTCGGTCGGACACGAGAATACGGACCCCCGTCTTTCGCTAAATTCTAGAGTGGGGTACCCTTTTACTAACCCTCATAACCCTGACCATAATCTTAATTCCCTCCCCCCCATTAGACTTACCGCGAGATGACCTGTAATACGAGGAGCGGGTCCACATCTCGTGCCCTGTACGATCGCTATACTTAAAATGATTGTGTTACCCACAATACCTGGAAATGTCGTTCAAGCACTGAGTTTTGGGATTTTATTAGGCGTATCGGTAGTATTAACCCGACGTTTTGTCTGTTGATTGATATGCTGTCCATTTTATCCTTTACGGCCTAGCTAGGTCTCAGTTTACTCGTCTGTGATGAACTCCAGAGGTTGGCCGCGGCCTCAAAAAATTATTTATCCCCTCCCAGAGCACAGCGAATCAAAAGCTTTTTTTCCTATTAGACAGTCGCAGTCCTCTGTTTCGACACATTTGAATTACAATTCTGGCCCCCGAGCGAAGCTCTTTACGAGTTCTCGTACACATCGGCAAAATTAACAAATATGGTTGTCCTTACTTTTGGCGCAAAGCGTTCGCCGCGTTCACATTAGTGACTACCACTTTCAGCTGGTAATTTAAAAGGAGAACTCAGTTGTCTGTATTTTTCAGATTGCCTCCCGTGATCACCAACAAGCATGCAGTATGACCTATTTCTTGGCTACATTTCCTTTTCTGTGCCATCAAGCCGTTTATTGATTTCTCCTGTTGTTTGGAGCGTCTGTTTGCGCTCGCGCCACGACTGCACCTTCGTTAAGTAGTCTCTTACTGCTTTTATTTGTCCCCCCCCCCTCAACGGGCCACGCTGGAGATGCGCTGGACCAAAACGAGGGTCAGACTGGGTCATGGCACTGGTTTGATCGTTGTCTCCCATGGCAACTTGGCATCAGTCATGCATGCCTCCAGCCTCTTGGATTCAGGTCTTGCGCATGTTATTTTCCTTAGAAGGCGCGTTCATATCACGTCAGTCATCGCTCATACACGTTTGACTCAGACGGCCCACTGCAACGGGGAGATGCAAAGAGCGTGAGGTTGATTCAGATCGTATTAGACTCTTTGTTTCAGAACCGTTAGTAGCCAAGCTATCGCGATATGCTGCCAGGCACGACCTCTAATGTTATCTGTCAGTGGGGCATCTCGGTTCTCCTTCGGAACAACACTCAAACTGCAATGACCCTTTCTTAATTTGACCTCTATGACACCTCCCACCTGCGTAAGTTCAGAGGTCCCCTGAATGAAACCTCTTACGTGTAGAGTTGGGGATCAGGTCCTGTGTGAAACCTGTGGACGAGTCGTTTTACCTTTTACCTTGCACCCACACTCATATCCAGACGTCCTGACCTCGTCTGGCTATCGGAAGGCAGTGCACGTAGACGTATAGAGTTGGGCGTGCTGGACGTAATTCTGGTTTGCCATAAGGAAATTTAGCAGCAAGTCACTGCTGTGGCCATCCGGTACAGCAATGGTGTACCTCGTCGCGGATGGCGGTCGAACTATGCGGCCCAAATTTATGTATATTCGTATCTCTTACTTATGGAGGGCCCTGTTAGGTGTTGACCGTCACGTCGTCCTTGTTTTGTGTTTTACCTAGGAGAAGCAACTAAAACTTGAGGACAACATACAAACTATGGTGCGGAAGGGCACCCACTTACTGCACAACTTTGGCAGTAAACGTCGCGAGTTTGTTGATCAGTTGGAGGACCTGTATCAGGAAGTTTCACAGTCTTTCATTCGTTTTTTTGGGTCGCGCGGTCGGTTGCATCACTGGTGGACAGGAGCCAGGGCAGCCATCAAGAATGCTGTCTCGCCAGGCACCTCGTCGGATGAAGACAAAGACGAGGACAGCTTCGATGAACGCTACCATCAAGAGCGCTCTCTGTCCACAGATTCTTTCGATTCATCGTAAGTCCTCTTGTCCTCCTGGTGCCTTTTGAATCTAAACCGCACGACCTTCTGTTATAAACATCTAATTTTTGCCCTTTCGTGCCCCCAAGTTTAGACCTAAAGAGCTGATATATGGGACGGTTTGTGATCTCAATTGAATTATTTCATTCTGTCTTGAGGTACTTGTTTCTGCGTAGTTGGCCACCTCTGCTCATTTTTGAACCCATTTTCGATGGCGGTAGTGGTCGAATGACGCCCTTACTAGTTGATAGTGCGAAAGAAGCCCGCAGTCTAAAAGCCACGTGGGTTGGGTCGTGATTTTCTTTTTTGCCATCGGTTTTTTACATTCTACGTCAAGACTTTGATTTCGTCTTATTTTAGCCTCAATTCAGGTTCAGAGTTCTCACGGCCTCTAAAGCGCGCTCGCACTCCTGACTTCACTTCAACCTCCACGAGTCGCAAACTTCGACGTCAAACGTAGTTCATATGTACGTTCGCCTTCGTATTGCTAGCTATTTTCCCATTCATCACCTAGAGTGGTATATTGTGCTACTCTTTCAGTTTTCTTTTGTTGCCTGTTTTATGCGCTAAAAGCCGTCAACCATTGTTTGAGCACTTTCGACAAGCCTTTTGAGTAATCAAATCAGGAAGGATAGTCTCCAGTCGATTCCTATACAGTAGCCTGTTTGCCTCTAGATAAACTTCTTTCTGTCGGAATAATATTGCTAATGATATATCGCCTTCTTCCACTGACTTCTTCTGCCAGCGTCAACTACATCACATTGGTAGTGTCTTGCGAAATCTTATGGTTGAAGGAAATACT